TGCTACGGGAAAGGCAAACCTGCCAAAGCAGGGAGATTTCCTTTCTGGCCCTTCAACAGCGACCTTGACGTAGCAGCGCCCGCGTACCAGCGGAGAAAAGGTTAACCTGCAAAAGAAGTCTTAACTGAGGGTGGGTAGGGTGGGAGAAGCTCTGGAGCCAACTGATGATTCCCAGGTAAGGTCCTCCCCCTATTGTGTGGGCAGGTAGTCCCTCCCCCTACCTGGCTCGATCACCTTGGCAACTGGCGGGATTGGGCAACTGGCTGAGTTAGGCGGAGACCTTCAGGTATCCCACCTGGGGGGAGGCGAAGCCAAGCCTGTGCCAATGGTGCCACATAGAGTCCAGGGGGCTGCGCGCGACCACGCAAACGGCGCCCCCCTTTAATGTGGGGAGCGGTAATTGTGGAATGCTCTGCCCAGGAAGTGGCGCTGTGGGTTAAACCACAGAGCCTAGGACTTGCCGATCAGAAGGTCAGCGGTTCGAATCCCCGCAACAGGGTGAGCTCCCGTTGCTCGGTCCCTGCTCCTGCCAACCTAGCAGTTCGAAAGCACGTCAAAGTGCAAGTAGATAAATAGGTACCACTCCGGCGGGAAGGTAAACAGTGTTTCCGTGCGCTGCTCTAGTTCGCCAGAAGTGGCTTAGTCATGCTGGCCACATGACGCGGAAGCTGTACACCAGCTCCCTCGGCCAATAAAGCGAGATGAGCACTGCAACCCCAGAGTCTGCCACAACTGCACCTAATGGTCAGGGGTCCCTTTACCTGCCCAGGAAGGCAAGCCTAACACCATCACTATCCCTGCTTGGTTCCCTAAATCCCCATTCCATCTCCCCCTTCCACTCCAGTACTGGAGCTAGACTGCGTGAAGGACCAGGCAAAATAGAGAGCGGAGCAATACAACAGACATGTCTCCATGCATCAGACCTTACTGGTGCGGATGTAAAAAATACAGTAACAGAAACTCGGAGCAGGATCTTACCTAGAACATCGCTATAGAACTGATGCCAGTCTCCATAGAGAACTTGATGGTAGAGGAAATCATTTGAGAGGTAGAAGAGCATGTTTTGGAGTCGCTCCATGAAGGACATCCTGTCTGTTAGCGCCTTCATGCTTGCAGGCACATAGGATGGAGGGGCTGGCAATCCTCCACAAAGACGCTCCACTGTGTTTGCCACAGAGAATCGATAGGTGTATATAAATGGAATCCGGAGTTTCTGAGCCAACAGTTCTGCACAAGGATAGAGTGGGTCTGCAAGGAGAACATCGAATCCAGCTGATTCCATCTTCTCCAGCAGTTTCTCATTCGTCACAGCCATCTGACAGAAAGTTTTCTGCCGATGCATCGTCACAGTTATGATGTCAGACAACTTGTTGAAAAACTCCCAGTAAGATAGTTCATGAACATCATACGTCATAAAATATACTAAGTTCTGCAGCAGATCTTCCATCTCTGCCCTTGAGAACGGAGCGGATATCACTTCTATCTGGAAAGGAGAAGGTTCACTGGGGTCAATTTTCCGGAAGAATGAAGGCAGGAGCACTGTCACTCGGTGGCCTCTGGCTGTGAGCTCATTCGTGATGAATTCCATATTGATCCAGTGGCTGTCGTCTGCCGGCCAGATGAGGACATTCCCACTGGAGGCTGAGCCCCAAAAGAACACCCAAACCACGGAAAACACCAGCAGCCATTTTGCAGCCATTGCGTCCTGGCTTTCCCACGCTTGATTCAGAGAGCTCCAAGGTGGTTGTGACAGGCTTGGGCTTATGCAGGGCACTCCTCTAATCTGTGCCTCTCCTCCCTGTTTCACCTTTGCCGTACTTTGGCACAGAGTTCATCAAAGCAAAGGTGGTTTTCTGCTACAGCAAAATCCTGTTACATAGCATGATCCTGTCGAAACGTGGGTTCATGATTGTTACTCCGCCTAGTTACGAAACAGCCTCTCTGTTCAATATACACTTTTGTTTGTCTTACTAGGAATTACTCTCAGGTAACCTCTCTATGGGGATCTGGGTGGCGCTGTTGGTTAAACCACAGAGCCTAGGACTTGCTGATCAGAAGGTTGGCGGTTCGAATCCCCGAGACAGGGTGAGCTCCTGTTGCTCGGTCCCTGCTCCTGCCAACCTAGCAGTTCAAAAGCACGTCAAAGTGCAAGTAGATAAATAGGTACCGCTCCGGCGGGAAGGTAAACGGCGTTTCCGTGCGCTGCTCTGGTTCACCAGAAGTGGCTTAGTCATGCTGGCCACATGACCTGGAAGCTGTACGCCGGCTCCCTCGGCCAGTAAAGCGAGATGAGCACCGCAACCCCAGAGTTGGCCACGACTGGACCTAATGGTCAGGGGTCCTTTACCTTAACCTCTCTATGTGGTCCATAATATTCTCACACAAAACTTGAAGCAAATGAAATGGTTTTCCTATAAGCACAGGATTGGAGAAACTTTTTTTGCTTGTGGGACCATAGTTTCTTCTGGTCAACTGTGAACAGTGGCAGATTGAGGGCAGCGTGACCAGTTTCCCGGCACTGGTCACCATGCCACAGGGGGCATCGCAGGGCTTTGCAGCTATGGCGTAGTTGCACATGCAGATGGAAGGTTGGAGGTTGTGATGGATTTTGGCCTCTCGCAGGACGCCGCTGAAATTTGAAAGACCAAAGTCCACACCTACCGTAAATATCAGCCTCAAATGCAAAGGTATTTGAGCAGACTCACTGATATTAAAGAATCTAAGGTAATCTGTCATGTCCATTAAGCTCAATAGGTCTACTCTGAGTAGGGCTAGGTCTAAAAATCTCTGGCAACCCAATATCCTTTGTTGCTGAGGTGCTAGGGCCATTCCCAGTGGCTCTGATGACCTCTAAAGCCTACAATTAGACACATAGAGAGTGTTTCTAGCATACACAGGTGGGGAGATGCATGCCAAGACAGAGTAAAGATGGCTATTGGCCAAGATGACATTCTCCTGCAGTTTCGTGCAGCAGATGAGGATGCATTCTCTGTGGTGCTAGTGGTTAAATCATAGAATCATAGAGTTGGAAGAGACCACAAGGGCCATCGAGTCCAACCCCCTGCCAAGCAGGAAACACCATCAGAGCACTCCTGACATATGGTTGTCAAGCCTCTGCTTAAAGACCTCCAAAGAAGGAGACTCCACCACACTCCTTGGCAGCAAATTCCACTGTCGAACAGCTCTTACTGTCAGGAAGTTCTTCCTAATGTTTAGGTTGAATCTTCTTTCTTGTAGTTTGGATCCATTGCTCCGTGTCCGCTTCTCTGGAGCAGCAGAAAACAACCTTTCTCCCTCCTCTATATGACATCCTTTTATATATTTGACCATGGCTATCATATCACCCCTTAACTCAAATGAATCAGTGTCAACTGCTAAGGGATGCTGTGCAAGGAACAAGATTATGTGGGTAGTCGGTTTCACAAGGCAAGTCTTGTATTGTCTCCAGTTCGTTACATCAATAGGGCTAGGGGTTGTTGTTTAGTCATTTAGCCATGTCCAACTCTTCGTGACCCCATGGACCAGAGCACGCCAGGCACTCCTGTCTTCCACTGCCTCCCGCAGTTTGGTCAAACTCATGCTGGTAGCTTTGAGAACACTGTCCAACCACCTCGTCCTCTGTCGTCCCCTTCTCCTTGTGCCCTCAATCTTCCCCAACATCAGGATCTTTTCCAGGGAGTCTTCTCTTCTCAGGAGGTGGCCAAAGTATTGGAGTCTCAGCTTCAGGATCTGTCCTTCCAGTGAGCACTCAGGGCTGACCTCCTTAAGAGCTAGGGCTAGGGGTAGTCTTGGGTGAAGAAATGTCAAGGGTAAGAATTCACTCCTGCTCTCAGAGAACCTAAGCCTCCCTCACCTGGGGTGATGCCTCTGCCAGAGGAAGGAAGCAGCAGTGGCAGGCTGTTCCCCTGGACCTGTAAAGATGAGCAGGTCCTCAGGCAGTGGGAGGTTGCTCACTGCTGGGCTGTCAAGTACAGGAAAATCCTGGCTGGCTCATAAGAGCACCCCTCTTTCTACCTTGTCCTGAGCCCAGCACCTTCCAACTCAGGCTGGGTGTCTTTCCGCCTCCTGTTCGCAGCAGCACCTCCTGCGTTCTTTTACGCTCCACCTCCTGTTCCTCATCAGACCACTGAAAATGGTCCTGACTTCACCAGTCTACCATTCCCCCTCACCCCATCAGAGCGCTTCGTGGATCCAGCCAGCAGCTAGGCCATAGCTGTCAACTTTCAGATTTGAAAATAAGGGATCAGCAGCCTCACCTGTCCCGGGGACAGTCTACAGGATATCTAACAATCCGGGATAGCAGCGGGAAGCAGCGGGAAATGGCACTGGAATAAGGGAATTTCCCACACAAAAAAGGGAAGGTTGACAGCTATGAGCTAGGCAGGATCACCGTAGCGGGTTACAGGTAGGGATGCTTGACAGTCTCATTTGGTCCATGTGGACCAAACCAATTCACACTTTCGCAAAGCACCACACAGAATGGAACAGAACAGCTAGAGTCAGATATCGCACCTCCCAGAATTTCATCATGTAGTTTTTGGCTCAAGCAAGGCATAAAATACTTGTTTTTAAATTGTAGCCCAAAATGTGGGCAACGGATACAGGAAATATAAGCAGACGTTATATGAAATATGGTAACAATGTGCATCTCTGCTTGCATTTTAGTGTGATATATCCACAAATTAGCAAAAAATAACTACTTACATTTCTGCACTGTTCTTCTACAAAGTGGGGATGCAGAGTTCAATGGTAGCATCAGAGAGAGATGTACAGGTAAGGGGAGCTGAAACACCTTTTTCTCTTGCACGAGCTTCATACCCCATGCTCAGTTACCTAAATTCTGCTTTCCCTGCCATCTCCCACCTCAACACTGGAGCTGGACTGGGTGATGGACCAGGCAAAAATGAGGAAAACCACAGGACAGAAATGTATATGTGAAACAAAACTTTTTGATGTTGATGTCAAAAATACAATGACCCGAACGAGGAGCGAGCTCTTACCTAGAACATCACTATAGAACTCATCCCAGCCTTTATATTGAACGTGCTGGAATAAGAAATCTTGGAAGAGGTAAAAGAGCATGTTTCGAACCCGCTCTGTGAAGGACATCCTGTCTGTTAGTTCCCCTGTGCTAGCAGGCACATAGGATGGAGGTGCTGGCATACATCCACATAGACGCTCCACTGTGTTTCCAAAAGAGAATCGATAGGTGTATATAAATGGGATCCTGAGCTTCTGAGCCAACAGTTCTGCACAAGGAATGAGTGGATCTGCAAGCAGAACATCGAAACCAGCTGATTCCATCTTCTCCAGCAGTTTCTCATTTGTCACAGCTATATGACAGACCGTTTTGTATCGATCCATCACGTGTGTTACTAAGGCATTCAACTTGCTGAAAAATTCCCAGGAAGAAAGTTCTCGGATCCCGTAAGTGCATAGATGTATGTAGTCCTGCAGGAGATCTTCCATCTCTGCCTTTGAGAACGGAGCAGATATCACTTCTATCGGGAAAGGGGAAGGTTCACTGGGGTCAATTATCCGGAAGAATGAAGGCAGGAGGACAGTCACTCGGTGGCCTCTGGCTGTGAGCTCATTCATGATGAATTTCAAATTGATCCAGTGGCTGTCGTCTGCCGGCCAGATGAGGACATTCCCAGTGGAGGCTGAGCCCCAAAAGAACACCCAAACCACGGAAAACACCAGCAGCCATTTTGCTGCCATTGTGTCCTGGCTTTCCTCCACTTGATTCTGGGCGATCAAAGGTTACTGTGACAGGCTGGGCTTGTTCACAGCACTCCTGAATTTCACTGCTCTCCACCCTGCTTAAACTTTGCCGTTCTTTGGCACAGAGACTTTCCAAGAAAGGAAGGTTCTCTGCAGCAGGAAAATCCTGCTGGGGATAACATAGCATAGTTCTTTTGAAATCCGGACTCCTCCTACAGCCAGTAACAAAACAGGTTCTCTGCTCAGTGGACAAGTTTGTTTATTTCTCCAGGAATAACTCTGAATGAGTCATCCAATGGCTTCAGCTGAACTCTCCATATGGCCCATAATATTCACACCTAGAGCTCGAAGCATATGAAATTGTTTGCCTGTAACTCAGGAGTGGAGAAACTGCAATATTCAGGACATAATATTGACATGGCAGCAAGGGAAAAGTTGTGGCAAGTAGGTAGATATGAAATTTACTGCCTGTTACACATTAAAGGAAAACTATTTGGAAATGATATACAGATGGTATTTAATACCTAATAAACTGGCTGAGATGTACAAGACTGTATCAAATAAATGTTGGAAATGCAAACAGTCCAAAGGGTTATTTTTTTCATACGTGGTGGACTTGTAAAAAAGCAACAGGCTTTTGGGAAATAATACACAATGATAGACAATTTTACGTTATAGTTGTAGCGCCCCCTGCAGCGCTCCTGAGGCTCCGCACCCAGCCCCAAATCCACCTCTGAGCAACCATGGTGTTGTAAACAAAAATTGCACATTCCTATCACAATGGTCAGCCTAGGAGAGGTCCTGGCATGTCCATGCTATCTCAACATCCGCTGTTCGTGGGAGACAGCTCTGTGGCTTGGATCAAGCCCCCGCTGCACCACTGATCACAGCAGCGGGATAATTGTATCGTCTCTTTTTTCATTCCGTCACTGTGTTGTTGGAACTGGAAAATAAATAGCTGACTGCAGCAGAATAGTGATAAGAAGCTCAGGGAATGTGGGGTCAAGGGGCCATACAACGTATTATGCCAACTGCAACAGGAATTAATTCTGCTGATAAGATAACAATCCTCAGATTTGCACAGGAGCCAAGGGGAGTTGAAGAGGCCCTGCAAAGTGCAGGATGGAACCCAAGATACACACACCCAACTTTTTGGAGGCCTGTTCACAAGCCATCAGGAATGGTTATATAAACCATTGTCCCCACTGCAAAGCAGATCACGTAAACACCAAACCATTCAAAACAAAGAGCCTGCATGTGAACTGCAGTGTCAAATTTCCTGTGTGTGTATTTTGCTTACGGAACCTGAGCTTCGGCTATTTGTAAAAATAATCTAATTACAAGAAAGCATGGGGGTCGAAGGGGTTGTGATGTAAGCAAATCTCCAGGCACAAAGAAATCTTTGTACCTGCTGAGATATTGAGATGGCTCATACTGTCTTTTATTACCTTTTTTAAAAAAGCTGTTAGGTAAGTCTGCCATACGAAGTGTGTTCAGAACATAATAGAACATACAGTTTAGGGGCATTTTCATTGCGTCCTCCCTCTGTTGTTGCAGATTTGCAAAGAAGAAATGAAGCCAAGGTGTTGAGATCTGGCAAAAGAATTTCCCTGACAGATGCTGAATGGATAAGGTGTTGACCTCTTGCCAGCAAGTCTCGGTTCCAAATCCTCATTCACACATGAAGCAAACTGAGTAGCCTTGGCAAGGAAATAAATGCCACTCCACCCTGTTGGTTTTGTATAAGAACCAGAAGATGTGCATCTACCCTCACATTGTTGGGGTGGTGGAAATAATAATCTACAAACCCCCACTCCACAAAATACAAAAAAGGGGGCTGAGTTAAGACAGGAGGGATATATATCGTTTTAAACTGGCCTATGGGGTGCCCCCCAAAAGACCAGAAAGTGACTCTGAGGAATCATCATGTGAGCATGCTATCATGGTTATGTTAATAATAATAATTTATTTATACCCCGCCCATCTGGCTGAGTTTCCCCAGCCACTCTGGGCGGCTCCCAATCAAATGTTAAAAACAATACAGCATTAAATATTAAAAACTTCCCTGAACAGGGCTGCCTTCAGATGTCTTTTAAAGATAGGATAGCTGCTTATTTCCTTCACATCTGAAGGGAGGGTGTTCCACAGGGTGGGCGCCACTACCGAGAAGGCCCTCTATCTGGTTCCCTGTAACCTCACTTCTCGCAATGAGGGAACCACCAGAAGGCCCTCGGCGCTGGATCTCAGTGTCCGGGCTGAACGATGGGGGTGGAGACACCCCTTCAGGTATACAGGGCCGAGGCCGTTTACGGCTTTAAAGGTCAGCACCAACACTTTGAATTGTGCTCGGAAACGTACTGGGAGCCAATGCAGATCTCTCAGAACTGGTGTTATGTGGTCTCGGCGGCCAGTCCCAGTCACCAGTCTATCTGCCGAATTCTGGATTAATTGCAGTTTCCAGGTCACCTTCAAAGGTAGCCCCACATAGAGCACATTGCAGTAGTCCAAGCGGGAGATAACTAGAGCATGCACCACTCTGGCGAGACAGTCTGCGGGCAGGTAGGGTCTCAGCCTGCGTACCAGATGGAGCTGGTAGACAGCTGCCCTGGACACAGAATTGACCTGCGCCTCCATGGACAGCTGTGAGTCCAAAATGACTCCCAGACTGCGCACCTGGTCCTTCAGGGGCACAGTTACCCCATTAAGGACCAGGGAATCCCCCTCACCCGCCCGCCCCCTGTCCCCCCAAAACAGTACTTCTGTCTTGTCAGGATTCAACCTCAATCTGTTAGCCGCCATCCATCCTCCAACCGCCTCCAGGCACTCACACAGGACCTTCACCGCCTTCACTGGTTCTGATTTAAAGGAGAGATAGAGCTGGGTGTCATCTGCATACTGATGAACACCCAGCCCAAACCCCCTGATGATCTCTCCCAGTGACTTCATATAGATATTAAAAAGCATGGGGGAGAGGACGGAACCCTGAGGTACCCCACACATGAGAGCCCAGGGGTCTGAACACTCATCCCCCAGCACCACTTTCTGGACACGGCCCAGGAGGAAGGCGCGGAACCACTGTATTACAGTGCCCCCAGCTCCCAGCCCCTCTAGACAGTTTAGTGTCCTAACTCCCCACCTTCTTTCCTAACCTTTATGATCAAGGAGAAAAGGCCCTGAAACATGTGTGTGTGATTTCTAGTTTTAATAATCTGCACATCTTCTTGATCAGCTGCTAGCAACAACTCCTGGCACCACCTAAGATATCAGGAAGGACTTCAAGGGAAGTAGGGAACTCCTACAGAGCTATGAGAAATCTGCAGTTTCTAGGGCTGGGGTGAGGGAAGTGTGGTCCTCCAGAAGTTGCTGACTTGCAACTCCTGTCATCACTGACCATTGGGCATGCTGGCTAGGTAAGGGCTGATGCAACTTGCAATCCAGCAACTTTTGGACTCCACAGATCCACCCCGCTCTGCACGCTAGAGCTACTCCTCACAACTTGGGCTCTTTGAATCCCTTGAAAGCAAAGCAAACATTTAACACTTAAACATTTCTTCTCAGAAGTAAGCTCTACTGGATTCAAGGGGGTTTATGATCAGGTAGGTGGAGTGAAGGGGACGCAGGTGGCGCTGTGGGTTAAACCACAGAGCCTAGGACTTGCTGATCAGAAGGTCGGCGGTTCGAATCCCCGCGACGGGGTGAGCTCCCATTGCTCTGCCCTGCTCCTGCCAACCTAGCAGTTCGAAAGCACATCAGAGTGCAAGTAGATAAATAGGTACCGTTCCGGTGGGAAGGTAAACGCTGTTTCCGTGCGCTGCTCTGGTTCGCCAGAAGCAGCTTAGTCATGCTGGCCACATGACCCGGAAGCTGTACGCCGGCTCCCTCGGCCAGTAAAGCGAGATGAGCGCCGCAACCCCAGAGTCGGCCACGACTGGACCTAATGGTCAGGGGTCCCTTTACCTTTACCTTAGGTGGAGTGAGGGTTGCTGCGGAATTTGAAAAGATATATACTGTATAGAGACAAGGGATTTGGAAGGTAGTCAGGGTGTGGGGTGATAGGAAAAGAGTGGCTTTAGCGAGGTGTGCTGGGAAAGATCAAAGGCTGGGCTCCATCTTAGGAAGGCTCTCTGAAGGAAGGGGCGTAGGAAGGGGGGGCGGGTCGCCCCAGTGCCATCATGGAGGGGGGGTGACAAATTATCAAGGAACAGTTACTGCCCTACTAGGGCGGTTCATAAAAAAAAAACTTTTTTGAAAATGCCTGCTCCAAAGGTCTTATCTTACTACACTAGGGATTATATAGCTATATATGAAATGTCATGCATATCAGTTAATATCTTGACCCTCCTCCACGAAAATAGCTGTTTATTTGGCCGTTTTCCTATGTCGTGAAGGCTGAAATTTAAATTCAGTGGGGCAGGGTCGAGATATTAACTGATATGTTTTTTTGTTTTGGTAAACCACTTTACAGTTGGCCAGGCTACCTGGCTTGGTAGTGTCTACCTCCAACTGAGAGTGGCTCCACGAAGCCTCAGGATGAGGCCTTTCCAGTCCTGCAACCTGGGCCCCCCTTTTTATTGGCTATGCCAAGGACTGCTCCAAAAAACCCTCTGCATTTTTGGAGCAGCTGCTCTACCAAATAATAGTACTCTGAGGAGGAGGAGGAGGAGGAGGAGGAGGAGGAGGAGGAGGAGGAGGAGGAACAAAAACAGGCTTACCTAAAACCTGACTGTAATAAGAGTCCCATTCTCCCCAGTAGGTCTGGAAAACATAATCCTGCAGTTGGTAAGATATCAAATTTTTCACCCTTTCCCCAAACGACAACCTGTCCGTGAGCTCAGACAGAGTAGCAGGAGCGTACGAAGGAGGGGAGGGTATTTTCCCACAGTGTCTCTCCACCGTTGAGGCCGGAGTGAAGCGCAGGGTGTACACAAATGGGACGTCCAATTTCACAGCAATCAGGTCACCACAGATTGTCACAGGGTCCACAAGGAGTACGTCGTATCGGCTCTTTGCCAGCCGGGCCATGAGTTCCGGATTGGCCAACACCCCTTCGCACATTTGCCTGTTGAGCACGACTGCTTTCTCCATCAGTTTCCCCAGCTCTTGGTAGAACCTGTGGAAGGTCAGTGTGGTGGGCATATGGTTGAACCACAACATTATGATGTCCCTGATAAAGTCTTCAAAGTCGCTCCTTACGAAGGGCACAGGGTAAACCTCAAA